GTATTTGATCAGGTCCAATAACATCTCACCTACTACCTAATGTTATTCGGTCCACGCCTGAGGGGTCATTACTCAACGTGGGTACTAATTGAAAAAATCTGCATCAGCGTATTATATGAGCACAAAAGTTTGACAATCTCTATAGCCAAATCTCTTCTTTTTGATTGTCGATACGAGTGCAACAATGAATCCCCCAACTGTCAAATTTGTATCAGAATGCTTTATCAAACCCAAATACAGTTCAGAAGAGTCGAAGAAACCTGTGTATTTGGCACCATGGGATCTTATGATGCTGTCGGTGCATTACATCCAAAAGGGCCTTCTCTTTCCCAAGCCTCCAGGTTTTGATGAAAATTCACTTAAGGATCTGCTGCAAAAGCTTAAAGAGTCACTCTCTCTCACTCTCGTCCATTTCTTCCCATTAGCTGGCCGCCTTGCGACTTTGCAGCAAGATGAGCCTCCTCTTTACACCGTCTATATCGACTGTGTTCATAGTCCTGGGGCCAGATTTATTCAGGCATCGCTCGATTTGAGCGTCTCTGATATTCTGTCACCAACTGATGTTCCCCTTCTTGTTCAATCGTTCTTTGATCATGACAGGGCAATCAATCATGATGGTCACACCTCGTCCTTGTTAACAATTCAAGTGACAGAACTGATTGATGGCGTATTCATTGGATGTTCAATTAATCATGTGGTTACTGATGGAACCTCTTTCTGGCATTTTTTTAATGCATGGTCTGAGGTTTTCAAAGCAAAAGTTGAGAACAATTTAACCATTTCTAGGCCACCTATTCACAAGCATTGGTTTCCTGAAGGGCATGGTCCAATTCTCAATCTCCCTTTTACTCATCAAGATCAATTCACCAGTAGACACGATGCTCCTCTAATGAGGGAAAGAGTTTTCCACTTTTCTTCCGAGTCACTGGCAAAACTCAAGGGAAAAGCCAACTCTGAATCCAATAGCACCAAGATTTCGACTCTTCAGGCATTGTCTGCTCATATATGGAGGTGTGTCACAAGGGCTCGGGGATTTTTACCAGATGAGAAAACCAACTGCAGATTGGCTATCAATAACAGAACAAGGTTGAATCCACCCTTACCTAACGACTACTTTGGAAATTGCATACAGACAGTGAAAGCAACCACCACAGCTGGAGAGTTGCTAGGGAACAGCCTAGGATGGGCGGCTTGGCAGTTGCAGCAGGTCGTGATCAACCATACCGACAAGAAGGTACTTGACTGGGTTGATTCCTGGATCCAAACTCGCTTTATATATCAGCTCGGGCAATTCTTTGATACTTCAAGCATAATGATGGGGAGTTCACCAAGGTTTGATATGTACGGGAACGAATTTGGACTGGGAAAAGCATTGGCAATTCGCAGTGGATATGCAAACAAATTTGATGGGAAAGTATCATTATATCCAGGAATTGAAGGTGGGACAAGCATGGACTTGGAGATCTGCCTTCAACCACATTTCATGAAAGCTCTTGAATCTGACCTAGAGTTTATGGACACAGTATGCTTCTAAAGTCTCTGTTTCTGTAGCTCTGCTAGAAGTGGCTTTATATTATCGATCAGTTTTCTTTCCCTTAAAACATTTGGCCTTCAAAGTCAAAAAATAATTATAAGTTTTAATAAGTCCATAACCGTGATGAAGTCCATAAACAATTGGATCAAGAATCAACATTATTGATCACGTGTTCTTCAATTCTTTTATGCTTCTGCCTATATAAGATTGTTAGTTGTAAGTCACTAGCGACGAGTTCGACCTAAAATCACCTAATAGGTGAATAACACGAAATTAAAATTAACAATTAATAAGCAACAACTCACTTTTAATTATTTCTAGATGGTTAGTCAATCAATTCAATTTTTCTATGGTTTGAATGTCACAATTATATAGAAAGCAGTAAATAACACAAACTATGACGACGGAGAAAATCTTTGATTGGGTAAAAACTCTGGGACCAAGCTAATAGTTTCCACTATAGACAATGTGAATTTATAGTATGATTCAGCCTAGAAAATTCATTAGACTCCCTGATCTAATTCCTGCAATCTCGAAAATTAACGTACTTCACTCACACTTACTCCCGATCTTCTGGAATTGTCTATCTCTTGTGGACCACCAAGAACACCTTATTCTTGTACTCTTCCTATACTTGTTGTCCAACCTCTCTCAATTTTCAACAACTCTGAAAGCCATTGAGAAAGTACTTTCCTGAAGTGAGTGTTTTGGACTCTTCCATTTGATGTTTTCCCAAGGTGTGGTTGAATGATCTCAAAAATGAAAATGATAAATCACAAATGATGAATGTTTTCTTGGATCTCTAAAGAATTATATGAGGCAAAAGAATAATAAACAATCACACAAAAAACATGCAAGGGCTTGAGTATTTATAGTAAAAGGTAGTTTAGGCCCATTAAAACTCTTTAAAACGCGAATTAGGGTTTCCTTGGGAAATACAGCCGCTCGAACGATAGCTTAGCGACAGGCGAGCAACAACTGAGTAGTTTTCAGTATTTGTATCACAATCCGATTGAGTTGATTCAAAATGCGTTGGAAAGATAACTCAAAGTGCTACAATTCTTCTAGAGATAGCCTTATCCATTTTCCAATGTTTTCTATGTGAAAAATGCATTGAAAGTTGTGGTTGAGAATTTAGAGTATAACTTGTATGGCTAACACTTTTTAAACTTCTAATTGCATTCCCTAGATCATAAGTAATCCTTTCGGCATCTTGGACTCCTTCAAGGACTATACTACCAACCAAATAACTCCTTGACTTTTACGAATATTTTATTACAGTCCTTTTGTCTAAAAAATTGCCAACATACTAAAAACCTAACATTAGTGATTATCATTCAATGTGACCTGGAAGCCTATATCTAAGGCATCTATGCTCAAGTCGTTAACTTTACGTATTATCTATTATGAGAGAATTTGAACTCATCTCACCTCTGTTAGGATTCAATTTAAGTCTCTCGTAAGGATATCTCATGTGTTCGAATTCTGGGGACGCAATAGAAATCCATAAAGGTTCAGAGGAGTTTAGCCTCTCTCAGAGTTGACAATACATAAAGTTAACGGCTTTGGCATAGAGATTGAGTTGTTACATAAAAATCACTATAGCTAGATTTTACTTGCTAGACTTATGCTTCTTCTGGTCCTATTTTAACTTCCTTCATTCGCATATGTGCAAACTGACTTGCGTAGCTAACTACCATAACTAACTAATGAATATGACAGAAAAGAGGGTAAGATGAAAAGAGACGCAATTGCTTAGCTTCGATTATTTGAGAAACCGTAGAATGATTGAGAAAAACTTATTTTTTTACAAAGTTGCTCTTGAACTGAAAACAGAAAAATTATATTTCGAGCTCAATTAATTAATTGATAAATGAAGCGGGAAAATGATATTTTTGGACTTAATTGATTAGTTAGCAAATTTAGAAAAAAAATTAAAATAATTTGGCTTATTTAAAAGAAAAAATTAGAGACATTCGATTCTTATTTGGTTCTTGGTGTAGAATCGAGAACTGAACTCGTCGGTTCTCAGTTTTAATACACGTTCGGGTATTTAACTTAAAAAGAACCATTCGGTTCAGTTCGATTCGAGAGTTTTGTCAAAGCCTAATACTATTTAACAAACTACTTGTACAGAAATTAGGATTCAATAGGCAATTCATTCAACCCTGCTAAATCAACTATTTGAAAACGACCTTGATTTTCAGTTGTTCATGATAAACTTCTACTTAAAAGCTGAAGAAAAATATTTCCACTTCCCATATAGTAAAAGAAAAATAAAAATTCCCATCAAACTATTTTTGGTAATTTCAAAACAAAATTAAATAAATAGAATCTTGCTATTGTGTTATGAAAACGTATGCATTTCAATAGCATTATAATAAAAATTAAGGGATCTTATAATAATTGGTACCAAAACCAGTACGTATATACAAAAAAGAACTAATCACATGCTATTTGTGTGCATTAGAAAAATAATAGTGCAATGTATGTGCATTAGGAGCGCATTGATAAAATAGATCTTCTACAAAAATTTTGATAAAATGCGTTTTTTCAGGCTTTCCCTTGTCAAAGAATCTTTTTTAGGTTGTAGATGAAATGCAAGAAAAGAGAGACATACAAAGAAGTTTAGTATGTACTTTTCTGGGTGCTGCTGTGTGAAGTTGGTGATGGAAAATGAAGTGGAGAGTGAACACCAATTAGAAGATGTTATCGAAACATACCTTTCGGAATCTTCATGTCAAAAAACACACACACACACACAGAGATAGAGGTGTTGCGATTACACATGAGAAGTTAACGCTCCCTCTCCCTTTTCTCCCTATCTTCCTCAACCTCTTGCTTGCATAGCATATCAGCATATGCCTCTCCCTTTCGCCCATTCTGCCATTATCCTTTACCCTCTTTCTAANATCTTATAATAATTGGTACCAAAACAAGTACGTATATACAAAAAAGAACTAATCACATGCTATTTGTGTGCATTAGAAAAATAATAGTGCAATGTATGTGCATTAGGAGCGCATTGATAAAATAGATCTTCTTCAAAAATTTTGATAAAATGCATTTTTTCAGGCTTTCCCTTGTCAAAGAATCTTTTTTAGGTTGTAGATGAAATGCAAGAAAAGAGAGACATACAAAGAAGTTTAGTGTGTACTTTTCTGGGTGCTGTTGTGTGAAGTTGGATATGGAAAATGAAGTGGAGAGTGAACACCAATTAGAAGATGCTATCGAAACATACCTTTTGGAATCTTCATGTCAAAAAACACACACACACAGAGATAGAGGTGTTGCGATTACACATGAGAAGTTAACGCTCCCTCTCCCTTTTCTCCCTATCTTCCTCAACCTCTTGCTTGCATATGCCTCTCTCTTTCGCCCATTCTCCCATTATCCTTTACCCTCTTTCTAATAAATTGGAATACCTTAGGTTGAAGATCCTAAGGTCTAAACCCGGCTCCATTGCAACTCAGATAATGAACTACCTTAACAAGAAGCAACCTGCTCTATCTTCTTCCTATACGAAACAGCTTGGGCATGTGGGATCTGGTATTCCAGTCTTTATTTTTATTTTTTTGATGGTTTGATTCTTCACTTCTTTCAATTTTTGAAAATGCAAAAGAAATTTTTTAGTGATTTATCATTATATAATGAAATTGGCAACTAAATTTAACTTCCCCTTTACTTTGAGTCTAATCAATTCCTCTTTTCCTTTAGGTCAATACGGTAGAATGAAGCTTTGAAAAATATTTCAGTTTTTTAAAAAAATTATTAATAAAATGTATTGAAATCATTGCTCACAATATCTAGTCATATTTGTGCATCATTAGGTCAGGAAAAACATGAAAACCAAATTACTAGAAAAAATAAATGAATTTTTCGATGCCTCATTTGCCCTAGCTGAGACCCTTTTTTCATGAATATCCATAACTTGGAGACAAGCAAACTTATGGCCTGTTTGAGCTCCATTTTTTTTTTTAAAAAAAAATTCATTTTAAAATAGTAATTTGATGGAGAATGTGTAATTAAAAAATAAAGAAAAATTTTGAGTTTGCATATAATATTATTTTATTGAAAAATATGTTATTGAAAATAAAAAAAAATAATATATTTTGAAAGACTTGCGTGCAAAATTATTACTTTTCTCGTGCAGCTTTCAGGGTGACACAAGTCACTTTGTTTGCTGGAAAATAAGAATGTATGTGTGTGCATTATTACTAAGTCCATAGGGATCTTAAGATTCAGATAAAATTTAATTATTTTATTAAAGTTTTTTATTCATTTTTTGACATACTTTGAATTGAAACCTAAAGTTATTTTACCAAATCCATTTGTGCAGTGAACAGAGTGTATTATGTCACCTTGTAAGCTGCAAAATAAAAGCAATAATCTTGCACGTAACTTTTTCGTCTCCAAGTTAATATTCTTGCAAGAATAGTTGGGAACTCTTTTAGAAAGAAACCCTTTTTTTTACTAATATAATTAAAGCAATTAAAACACATACAAATCAAATTGTGCAGAACACAGAGTGAATTATATCACTTTGAAATCCACACAATAAAAGCACTGATCTTGCACATAATTTTTTTATATCCAAGTTCATATTTTTGCAAGAAGAGTTGGCAACTTTTTTGAGAAAGAAAGGAATTTATTTACTTATGTTTTAAAATCTTAACTAATGAAAAACGAACATATAACAACTAAAACACATACTAATCTATTGTACAGTAAACAAAGTGAATTATATCACCCTGTAAACTGCATAACTAAAGCACTGGTCTCACATGTAATTTTTTTTTTTTTTTGACTCCTAGTTAATATTCGTGAAAGAAGACTTGGCAACCGGGGAAAACAATGAAGAAAATCAAAAATATTTTTAGAAATCATTACAATCATTTCAGCATTTCCATTCTGTCATCAAAGTTAGCCTTCTCAGCCTTGTACTTCTTCGCCTTATCAATCCTGTTCTTTCACTGCACATCAGTCTGCTTCGTCTTCTT